AGTATGCTTTTTGAAATCGGCTGAATCGAATGTTCTTTTATCAGAACGATCTCTTGATGCGTGCTTTTCTATTCGTTTTTGCCTTACTCACATTATTTGGTCCGTTTTCTTAACTTTTGTCCATTTTGTCCTTCTAGTGAGAGGAAATTTGTTATGTCCCTTGATGATGAATATACCCTTGAGGACTCCATGGAGATTTTGATTATCGTTAGCCCGGATTCTGTCTGTTCTTGGTTACAAATCTAATTAATCGATGCTTTCATTTCACGAAGGCCGTAGTATTCAAGAGATGAGTTATGGACGCTCGTGGACGCTCCCGAGAGTCCCGGCTTTAATCACTGACGAGGATATATATGCTCACTCCGGCCCCTATCGCTGTATGGACAATGCATGGTTCGGGTGAGACTGTCTTCTTCCAAAAGCTGGACACACATATTCTACTATAGCTGTCCTATTGAACAAACGCAAAATACCATCTTTCCCTTCATTTAGTCGCTGATGTCTCAGCTTGTTGCCTTTTCTTCTAGCATTAGTGATCCTTAGACATTCATCTCTTGCAATCAATGCTGAGTACTATGCTTTCCGGTTGAATTTTCTTTTGTCGGCAATACGCGATAACAAATTTATATTTTGAAACAATTTTTCTCAGGTGCAATGTAGTAAACTTAGCGAATGCGAAACCCGGTTGATGCCCCAGCAAAAGCAGTCCGATTCACATGGACGTCCGTGTTTCTGTATATTCTATTTTTGGTAACTAATGGTTGTCCTTGGTACAAATTTTGAATTGGTTACCGATTATTTGTCAAAAAGCATAATGCTGCTTGTCTTGAATTATCTTTTCACAGGGCAGGAGAGGTTTTAGATTTTGTAGACACATAAGCAGTAATATTTGAGTGCAGGTATAGCATCATATGTTGAATTTTGATAGTTTTGATGAGCCTCATGACAATCTGCAATGAAAGAAACACGAAAAGAACTTGCGCAACACTGCTTGCATGGCAAGTCTCACCTGTGGCCTTAGAGCAAAGAAAATCCAATCTTATAATAAGGGTGCGTTTGGTAACCATTACGTTCCCGGAAACAATTTCTGCTTAGAAATAATTTTTTTTATTCTATTCCCGGAAACAATTTCTAAGCATTTGAAGGCGTTTGGTAACTGTCCAAAATTTCTATTCCTGGAATAGAAAAAGAACAGAAATGCATTTGCTAACCGCACAAAATTTCTTTTTATTAATAATAATTTGAATTGTTTTAATATTTCTTTTTTTTTTCCTTTTTTTTCTTTTCTTTTTTTCTTCTTCACCTTCCTTTGCCCATGGTCAAGTCGCTGGCGTCGGCGACCGGCCACTGGCTAGGGCCGGCGACGGCGAGGGCTGGACCCTTGAGGCCTAGGCAAGGGCCACCCTTACTAGATCAGGCAAGTGCGAGGGTCCAGCCCTCGCCCAGGCTGGGCGAGGGTGGCCCTCGCCGCTCGCGGCCTGGGCGAGGGCAACTCGCGGCTTGGGCGAGGGCCGCACGACCCTCACCCAAGCAGCAGGCCGCTCGACCCTCGCCCAGGCTGCGAGGGTCCAGCCCTTGCCAAATCCGGTGAGGGCGACCCTCGTCCTTGTACCCCTCGCCGGCCACCAACCACAGGCCAGGAAAGAAGAAGAAGAAGAAACAAAGAATTTCTTTTCCATTTTTAATTCTTGTTCTTAGAATCAACTTTTTTTTTTGTTCTTGATTCTATTCCAAAACTGATTCTGGGAATAAAGTTGTGTCCGGGAATAAAAAATTTACCAAAAAAATTTCTGTTCTTTTTTTGTTTCCTGAAATAAAATAATAGAATCATGCAATGTTTGGCCGGTTACCAAATATGCCATAAATGAACCCTTTTGTTTTTGGCCGTGCTAATAAATAAGCCCTTCAATCCAATTCTTTTCGTTTATCGCTGGACTATGTCAACCATACAATGATGATACAAGTTTGACATAGTCTAGCTAACTCTAGAGGGCGAATCCATAGGCTCTTCGAGATTGAAAATGAAATTCGAATAATCCTTACAATGTATTTGTTTGAGCGAAAGATATTCGCAAATAGGTTTTCAAACTTTCATACATATGGGTTGCTGAAAATGATGAGTCGGCGAAAAATCATTTACAGTAAAAAATAAAATTCATGCTAAAAATTTGGAAAACGAGTTCCCTAATCTGTGAAGGAAAAAGCCATTTTTTCGAAATCTTCTTAACAAACTCTTCTTCGCCGAGGCTTAGTCGCTTTTCCCATTCTTCAAGGTGCGCTCTTCGTTCATTCTTCTTCGCCGAGGCTTAGTCGCTTTTCCCATTCTTCAAGGTGCGCTCTTCGTTCATTCTTCTTCCCCTTCATCAAGGTTCGCTCTTCTTCACCAATGCTCAACATCTTTGCTGAAGGTTTAACTCTTCTTCATCGGCATTCAACAGCTTTGTTCCAGGTTCTCTCTCCCCGCCAATTTGAAAATAATCACTAAAAATTCGATCAATCTTTTACATCGTGAATCTGTTGTTGATTCTTCTGTGCTACGGTTGTTTGATTCTTGTTTCCGTTCATTTTCTGTGCTCGACAGAAGAGAAAGTGGATATTGACATAGAGGTGGAAAATGAAGAGAGTCACAATGTTTTGATCAAGCATTATACTTTACATCTCAGTTTTTAATACTAAATGAACGAAGGACTCGTTATTCTTTGAAAACTTGTTGCAGTAGCTATTCAAGCAGCTCTTTGTGGCAGAATTTATCCTAACGTATCATGTCATGAGAGAATGATCTATGCTATAACCAACAATGAAATGTTTAGTTTAGGTACTGCCTGGGATATTGTGACGAAAAGGATTAATAAAGATGATTTTATTTTTTTATCTGTTTGTTTTTTGAGCTGAAAGCTACTCCTGGATTAGAAAGGTGAGAGGCATTCTGTTGTAATCTGTCAATTCAAATATTTATCTATTAGACCACCTTCAAAGTAATCTACGAGATTGAAATCATTTTATAAATGAGGTCCAAAAACATTTTTAGTCACACTTTTTAACATACCACCAAACAAATGAAAACTATTCATTTTTCTTGAAAATAATTTTTATGAAAAGCATTTTCTTTTAACATTATGAAGTTTTTTTAGAAACAGGCACCCTTCATTTTACTTTCCAAAAGAAATCGACCGAGTAACAGTTGATATTTTTTCGATAAAAAAAAACAGTTGATATTTATTTTCAGACCAAAAAAAGAAAAAAAACAGTTGATTATTTCAAAGGTTACAACTTACAAGTAGCTGCTTTTCTGAGCGTCGGCCGCTAGGGTTGACTGCCTTCAATGATAAGGTGGGAGCAATTGAGTCGTCCACTGTTTCAACGATACAATCTCAATAGATTTCTTGATAATGTTGTTTAATCATTTGAATATAAAAAATAATGTGATAGAGAGAGAAAATCCCACTTCGGCGCTGATATGATCGAGCATTAGGATAGGAACAACACACACAAGCAACTGCATGCATGCAATTTTTTTTTTTCCTTCTTTTGGTGCTTTACGTAGGTCTGTGAATTTGACATGAAGAATAATACGAGAATTTTCTAGAAAATAATGACTAAAATAAGATAAAAAAAAATAATAAGGTATGGATCCTCTTATTTTCATACTTTATTATCGAGTCTGCTTGTCACAATCATAATAAAAACAAGGGAAAATACTACAAAAAACCCCAAACTATGTTACTTGTGACAAATTTACCTTGAACTTTTTTTTGTGACATGAAAAACCCTAAATTATGTCACTTGTGACAAATTTACCCTGAACTTTTTTTGTAACACGAAAAACTCTAAACTACGTCACTTGTGACATATTTACCCCACAATACTTTGGCCCATGGGCATTTTCGTCTTTTTCCTTTTTCTTTTTTTTTTTTTTCCTTTTTTTTTCTTTTCTTCTCTCTTCCCTCCGCCGTGTCCGGCGGAGGGAAGCCGACGAGGGCTGCCTTCGCTGGCGTCAGGCAAGGGCTGCCTTCACCTGATCCTGCGTCGGGCGACCCTCGCCGGCCTCGGGCGACCCTCGCCGGCCTCGAGCGAGGCTGCCCTCCCTCGCTGGATCTGGCGAAGGCAGCCCTCACCGGCTTTCCTCCGCCGTGGCCGGCGAAAGAAAGAGAGAAGAAAAGAAAAAAAAAGTAGAAAAATGAAAAAGACGAAAATGCTCATGGGCCAAAGTATTGTGGAGTAAATGTGTCACAAGTGACATAGTTTGGGGTTTTTCGTGTCACAAAAAAATTTCAGGGTAAATTTGTTACAAATGATATAGTTTGGGGTTTTTTGTGGTATTTTCCCTAAAAACAACTCTCCTATCCAACTTTTTAGAAACTTTTACAATACACAACATTTATTTCAGGGACTACATGGAACATGTTCTGAAAATCCAGGGACGACATTGAACAAATTAAAAGTTCAGCAACCACATTATACATTAAGTATGTACCAAAAGTTCAGGGATGATATTGAACAAATTAAAAGTTCAGATATCACATTCATATTGGGTTAAAGTTCCTGGACCACATTGAACAAAATAAAAGTTCACGGACCACATTGAACAAAATAAAAGTTCATGGATCACATTGAATATTAGGACGATATTTAGAGACTGTTTGTGTCATTTTTCCTTTATTTTTGTATTTGTGAATATCCAAGTTCGTTCATTCTGTTTGACAAGGAGTGAGCCTATCAGCTAAAAACCCTACCTGTGAAATTCTCTTTAGCTTTTGTTCCTAATTTTCTGCTAATTCCTATGTAAAATGAACATGCAAATTTAGTGGCCTGAGAGTAACCTGACAACTTGCTCCTGGAGTCCAGTTGATGACTCCATGAGTGCAAATCGAAAGTCAAACTTTGACCTTTATTTCCATTTAATGGGCGGGGCGATCGCCCAACGGTTCCACGCGGCACATGAAGTGATGAACATGCACTCATTTATTGGCTGTTTACGGTGGAGCAAGCAGTGACAATGGACAAATTGCTAGGGCTAGCCGGTGGATGAAACCTATATAAATACGAGCGTGGATGACCCAACAATAGCAAGCTTAGTCAGCTACTGATTCTCTCTCTCTCACTTACACACACAGTCTCTCTTTTGGTGTCTGAAGCCATGAGGGTTTCCAGAAAATGGCTCTCCATGGTTCTTCTCGTTTCATGCATTGTGCTCCATTTGAGTGCACTTGCTCTCAGTGACAACAAGGTCGACAAGACCAGGTTCGGGGACGATGATGACTGTCGTTGGGGACGGAGACGCTGTGGCGGCAGATTCGGTGGTGGGCCAGGGGGTGGGGCTGGAGGAGGCGGTGGATTTGGTGGAGGAGGAGGTGCGGGAGGTGGAGTTGGAGGAGGAGCTGGTAAGGGTGGAGGCTTTGGAGGCGGAGCTGGGGGTGGCGTTGGAGGTGGTGCAGGGGGTGGTATAGGTGGTGGCGGTGGTTTTGGTGGCGGTGAAGGTGGAGGAGCTGGAGGTGGAGCTGGGAAGGGTGGAGGCTTTGGAGCTGGGGGTGGCGTTGGAGGTGGTGCGGGAGGTGGTGCGGGAGGTGGTGTAGGTGGTGGCGGGGGTTTTGGTGGTGGTGGAGGCGGAGGTGCTGGAGGTGGCACTGGAAAAGGAGGTGGCTTTGGAGCTGGGGGCGGTGTTGGTGGCGGAGCTGGAGGAGGTGCTGGTGGTGGTGTCGGAGGTGGTGGCGGAGCTGGTGGTGGAGGTGGAGGTGGAGGTGGTGTTGGTGGTGGGTCTGGTCATGGTGGAGGTTTCGGGGCTGGGGGTGGTGTAGGCGGTGGAGCTGGAGGCGCAATTGGAGCTGGGGGTGGTGGAGGAGGCGGTTCTGGTGGAGGTGGAGGTGTTGGTGGTGGTTCAGGCCATGGAGGAGGCTTTGGTGCTGGAAGAGGTGTAGGTGGCGGTGCAGGAGGCGTTGGAGGAGGTGCTGGTGGAGGAGGCGGCGGCGGCGTCGGTGGAGGAGCAGGACATGGGGGTGGATTTGGTGCTGGCGGCGGCGTAGGAGGTGGTGCTGGCGGAGGTGTTGGAGGTGGAGGAGGAGCCGGAGGAGGTGGCGGCGGCGGTTTAGGTGGAGGATCGGGCCACGGCGGGGGCTTCGGTGCAGGCGGAGGAGTGGGAGGTGGAACTGGAGGAGGTTTAGGTGGTGGTGCTGGAGGCGGGGGAGGTGCCGGTGGTGGACTTGGAGGTGGCCATGGCATCGGCGGAGGTGGAGGGTTTGGAGTCGGGATCGGGGTCGGGATTGGAGTTGGAGTAGGGGCCGGTGTCGGTGTCGGTGCCGGCAAAGGGGTGGGCGTCGGAAGCGGCTCAGGCGGCGGAGGCGGAGGAGGAAGATAAAACCCCGGCCAACCTCCAAAACCAACTATCTACTACATTGTCGAAGGAGTCCATCGATCTGCATCGGAGTGATGAAGACACGTTGCCTTGATTTAAACTAAGTGTGCAATCTAAAGACCACATGAAATAACAACTACCCTTTTTGTACCACCTGCAGAATGCACCTTGTTTTTGCAAGTTATCATGTATCTTGTGTCGTATGAAGAACTAGTCTTTCAATTCAGACAGTGAAATGTAATATTTATTATCATGATCTGTCCATCGACTCCACATTTTTCACTCTCATGCTCTCTGAATCCAATAAAGAACGGATAATAAAAATAATACCCGAACTTTGATCAAATATGTAATATAGTCGCTGAATTTTTAATTTGTTCGATGTGATTCTTGAACTTTAACTCAAAGTGTAATATGATTCATGAACTTTTGCTATATATTCAAACTTAATTGCTAAGCTATATAAATATTTAATATTGTCCTTCCATTAATTTAAGTTCAATGACAACATTGAACATTTTCATATAATTCAGGTACTAAACTGAATATGTACCAACAAATTCAGAAATCACATTGAACAAATTTAAAGTTCAAAGATCACATTGCACATGAAGCTAAAATTTGGATATCACATTGCATATTCGGCCAAAATTCATGGATTATATGTGCCATTTTCCCAACAAAGATCATAAGAATCTCGACATTTATTTCGCGAAGGAGAGGTGGTTGAGGCCTCTTAATCATGAAGCAAAACCAGTGCGTGATATGCACAATGCAGCGGATGGCTCTAGTGCTCCAAGCAACAACAGCAGGCTCGAAAAACATCCTTTACTCATCCTACGGACAATCTGTTTGAACAACACCAAATTACTACAGCTCGCTCCACGTACTGACAGATGCAGTTATGATATAAGGTCCCATGTATTAAAGCCCAGCATAGAGAAGACAGGTTTTCCTGCATGAATGAGATTGGGTTTGTGAGCCATTGTTTCAAGGACAATCTTTTTAGAACTAAATTGACACAATTGAAAATTTTAGAATTAAATTAACAAATCATAAAAAAAAATTTGGACTAGATTGACGTAATTGAAAGGTTTAGGAATAAATGAGCCTTCGTACAATAAATTTATGACTTTCTGGATAATTTTCTTTGAGGTAAATTGCATTGTTACTTATGAGAAGTGACGATGCTGTTAGGCTAGCGATGTTCTAAATTCCATAGCATGTTGTGCCTAATACAACATATTCGAATCCATGGGCTAATAAAACTTATTGCATTTGGATAAAAAGTTACTAATGATACTGAAAGTCAGTACGATGGATATAAAAAGTAACTAGTCATGTATGAATATTTATGTAGATACTAATGAAAATCTTCTGATTTGAAAGCTTACTAATCATTGTTCAATATCTTCTTATATTGTAATTGAAATATGGATTAACTGGAAATAGCACAGACTTGGGATTTTTCTACTACAGATCTCCTATAGATATACTTGTTTGTAAAATTTTTAATGGCGGGTGATTTTGCATAAACATATCGCTAAGTTGCTAAAGGGTTTGATTGCATGTGAAAAGGGAACATAGCATTCTAACCAAAAAAAAAAGTAACAATTATAGCATCATTCACCATTATGGAAATGCGTGTAGGAGTAAAATACCGAATGTACTGGGTCGACAAGGAGAAATGCGCCCTTCAGATTGCTCGGGAAGTGAACCAACAAGGTGAGCAAAAGCTAACTCGAACACCACCTGACTTGCTATACCTAGAAAAAATAGATGGATTTGAGGCTGGGAAAATTGTCCAAAAAATCTTAAATTTATTGTATTTTTGTCAAATCATTCCTACACCTTTTAATTGTACCAATTTAATCATAAACATTTTCACATTTTGTCAATTGAGTCCACTCGGTCAATTTTAGCTAGAAATCGCTGACGTGGTCACTGGCCATCCTACATGGCATTACAGATGTTGACATGAATAAATTTTAATAATGTTTTAAAAAATTTATATTTATTTTCCTTTTTTTTTTTCCTACCCTTCTTCCTCTGGCCCCAAAGGCGAGAGTTGGCGAGGTCGACTTCATCGGCCCCTGGCGAAGCTCGCTCCTGCCGGCCACTAGCAAGGGTGAGCCTCTCCCGCCCCTGCCAAGGCGAGGCCGACCTTGCCATCGTCAGGCAAGAGAGAACCTAGCGACAACGAGGCAGACGTCACAAGTGGTGTGGTGTTAGGCTTGACAATTACAAGACAATAAATGTAATAATGTCTGCACCTTGTCATGAAGTTCAACAAATGTTTTCCGTGGATTACCACGCTTACTCGTTGTTTTAGAGGGAAGCACTTGACCCTAAGCGTTCATCTTTCCTCTTAGAACTTGTTCTTTTTATACTCAAGTCTCATTCCTAAATCTTAGAAATCCCTAATTCGCTTATTTTGAGCAAAATTACCTTTTGAATTAGAGATAATTGCACTGAAAATTCTAAAACTTGTTATGATACAAATTTTTAAAAGTATAATTAAGTATTGAAACGTGTCAAATTGATTCAATCATGTCCTTTCATTAACTTTGTCCAGCTAGGCTAATGAAAAATGTTAACGTGTCTTATTTTATTACTTTCTTAAGACACGTGGAGACGATGTATTGTTCAACAAGTGCCACGTCAAAACAACATTCAAAAATTAAAGAGAAATATAAACTTAAATTCAATTAAAAAAATGAAAAAGCTAAAAGTTAAAAGTTAAAAAATGTATAAAACTCAAAAAAAACACACACACACACACAAATCTAGGGCAAGGGTCGTCCCCTATCCCAGAACTGGGCTCCCTAGGTGACCTCCGCCTGCCCTTTCCGGCGATGGGCGGCGACGGCGGCCACCAACGAGGGCTTGTTCCTCCTTTTTTTAAAACTTGGTTTTTTTAAAACAAATTTATCCTTTTAAACTTTTTCTAATCCAATTTAAGTAAAATCTGAAAAAATAAAAATAAAATGCCATGTAAGAGAGCGAAAGTAAGAACATAAAATATCACATAAGCATTTTTCATTGGTCTAGTTGGATGGAGTTAACGAAAGGACTTAATTGAACCGACTTGATAAGTGTGAAGACTTGATTGCATTTGAAAGTTTTAGAGTTTAACTACGCTAACATTCGTGACAAGTTTTAGAATTTTTGGTACACTTATCCTTTGAACAATTTGGGGCAATAGACAGCAAAGAAGAGGAAAACAATGTTTTGCTCTCTTGCTAAAGCTCCCTCTTTCACTTATCATGAATCTGATTTCCAAAATCGAACACCTAATCGAACAGAGAAGTGTAGCTGCGGTACTTCTCGTTCCTTGCTTGCTTCGTCTTCTCGCTCAAAGGCAAACCGAAAAATTACAAAAGAAAGTTTAGCATATGTGTGTACTGTTGAAGGCATGGCACAACCGGACTCAAAATTTACGATTTCCACGACGTGTCAGCTCAGGTAATTGATAAAAAAAAGTTACCATATTCAAGCGAGCTCTCGTACGAAAGTAATTGCACTTCCATCGTCCCAATGACCTCTAATTTTCGAAAAGCAAAACCGTTTGCGAAACTCTTTGAAATCACAAGATATCAAGATTCGGACACGATTTGTCATTAACGAAGAGGGGCGCAACCGTGCAAGGAGGAAGGGGCCGACCCTTGGAACACGGCAAGCACGCGACGACGCGTCGCACATGAAAGAAGCATGGCGGAGCACTCTGTACCGACGTGGTGACCTTCCTTCCCACTGGCAAAAACATCGTTATATAAATCCTCCCCACCAGACAAACACCAGTAGTTGAACCAACCAAATCCGAAACTTCTCTCTCTCTCTCTCTCTCTCTCTCTCTCTTCTCTGCAGAACTTTTCCCCATCACTTTTTCTCGCGATTCCGGGTTTTTCTTGGGGGACCCTTTTCTGTTCCGGGAAAGATGATACAGCTGCTGTACACCGTGATCCTCGCCGAGATGGCGCTGATCCTGACCCTCCTGTTCAAGACCCCCCTGCGGAAGCTGGTGATCATGGCCCTCGATCGGGTCAAGCGCGGGAGGGGCCCCGTCATGGCCAAGACGGTCGGCGCCACCGTGCTCGTCGTGCTCGCCTCCAGCCTCTACAGCATGGTCAAGATCCAGCGCCGCACCGCCGAGGCCGGCGCCGTCAACCCCACCGACCAGGTCCTCATGTCCAAGCACATGCTCGAGGCCTCTCTCATGGGTAAGGATTCTTTTCCCCTATAGCTCGCTCGCTCGCCCCTCCGCTGGTGCGAAGCTGTCCGGTTTCTTTCGTGCTTGATGGAGGGTAGCTGTTGCTGGCGTTCTTGATGCGTCGGCTGGTTTTAGCTCTTAGGGTTCTTCTTTGTTCCGCGTTAATCGGGTTGTTTGGGTCTCCGGTGAAAAGGGTGGGGAAGAGATGATGCTAGATTTGAAGCAATTTGGCGCTGGTGCACAAGACTTGTTAGGAGTCACGAGACTTGTTGAGATAAAAGTGCATCTGCAGTGGGACGTAAATTATGGCAAATTAGCAGTTTTACAAGTTGAAAGTGCTGCTGTCTGTAGTTGCAATCCCGCAATTAGAATGCGAAACTCCATGCCTTGGTTCAGTCGCTCTATACGATAACTCTGATTGGTTCATACTCTTGTGCATTGGAGATTTTGTCTCGTATAGGTTGGAACTGGAGTTCTCTGACACAGGCGTCGGAGAAGTAGCGCATGATATTTGATTGCTAAGCTAAAATACATGGTTCCCATGACCCAGTGGATCTGGATTGTTACTGATTCCTGGACATTGATAATCTGGGTCATGCTATAGAAAACAGAATGGTTGGGGTCCTAGAGGACTAAATTAGTAACTGGTTATTCAGGAGAATTTATTGATTGAATCTGTAGGTTAATATCGGTGCTGTTACTTGGGGTGCCTGATCTTTGCATAATGTTGTCTGATGCGAAATGCATTTTCTCATTTCAGATAATTTCTTCCCTTGTTGTTTTTGCGTTAATGGGTTTACTGGAGCTTGACTGTTGTCTTGTTAGTTCCCACGTTTTGAGCTCATTGCGTTTGCTTCAGTTTGTTTTATATTTGGTAAGTTTGAAAACTCTGTCTGAATCCCAGGGGATCTGTTAGTTTTGATTTATCACTATGGGTTGATTATAGAATGCCATTCAGTCCTGAACTAATGGTTCACCTGTATAGCATTGCACTCTGTATTAACCTGTGTAGTGATCCGATAATTTTGTATCATTTTCTTTTGCAAGCGACTAGTATCCAGCAGCCGTCTCTCTGGTAAAGAAATTTAAAAGAGAAGGGTATAGATACAATTACAAGACCATAGAAATACTAATGATGCGTTTGGCTAAAATTCTGGATGTTGTATGCCAAAGTTTTAAAGCATTGGGTACCTTTCTCTGAAGAAAGGTTACCATTAAGCTCTCCTATATTATCATTGTTGTAGGTACGGGTTGGATCTGATTCTATGTGGTTGACTTCTTGCAGGATTTGTGCTATTTCTGTCTTTGATGATTGATAGATTGCACCATTACATAAGAGAACTTCGCTTGCTCAGAAAGACCATGGAGGCAGCCAAGAAACAGAGTCGAGGCATTGACGAGGGGAAAAATGGCAGTGCAGAGGAGGTCAAAGGCTTGAAGGAAGAGATTGCCACCCTGAGGACAAAAGTGAAGAAGCTGGAAACTGAATACGAGACAAAAGACAAAGAAGCCAAGACAGCCGAAGCCGAAGCCGAGGCTCTAAAGAAACAATCCGAAGGCTTACTCCTAGAGTATGACCGCCTGCTTGCAGATAACCAAAGCCTTCGAAGTCAGTTGGAGTCTATTGATCTCTCCATGTCCAATTCTGATGGCAAGAAGAACACTTGACAAGAAGTTTTGTTGGAGCAGGCGAGTTCTTGATCTAGTTTCATGAGTGTTTTTTAAAAGAGATAATAGTTTTTCGGCAGGGAAGGCAGGGAAGACTGTACGGCTGTCGTGTTGAATCTGCTTGTACAAACAGAAGAACAAAACCTTGCGATGAGTGCTGGAAACTTGTTGGTTTTGGGCGGAATCAGGGTTGTACTAGGTACTTACTCTTTGATCATTCCTTATATATGTAATCAGTATAGCATGGCAGCAAATGGGATTCTGAATTTCCTTCTATCCATTCTGTCTTGTGTAATTCAAAGAAGCAAAGCCGGTAAGTTATGTTTCATTGCAATTTTCTCCTCAACCAAGAGGGAACCAAACGAATGCGAGACTCAAACAAGGAGTACGACTCGGTTAGAAAACAAAGATCGATCTGTTTGCAGGCACAAGAAATGAAAATGTCCTGACCTACTGAGTGAATTGGCCGGCAGCATATGCGGGTACTCCTTAAAAGCCAGTATAAGCAGTTCTGCTTCATAATTACTCTTTATGGATTCCCTGTGATTTCATACTTGGGCAGGTTCAGTGGATGCATAACTCGTGAACCCAAGCCATAATTTATTCCTTCACTTTTGTACCCTACTCCTCGATTTCCGCAGAGGTCAGACCTTGATGATCTAACTCTAAAATTAGATGACCATAGAGTACGTGTTGGTTATGCTAATAAAGATGCTAAATTCAGCCCCCAGTTTTGACCGCCTCGAGTTCTTGAAAGTAAACTGCATATGGGATTCTTCCCCAAGCGATTGCTCTTTTCTGTTCTGTTCCTCGCAGAATCGCCTTCTTACTGTCATTCAGGAGCGTTGCCTGTGTCTTTCCCAATCATTGTGAGATTGGGAAAGAGCTGACTAAACTAATTAGTCCCATTCTCTGAATCCTGGCTTTGCCCAATCCAGGATAGTATGCCTCAGAGCCTGTGGTCTCCTTGCTGGGAAAATTGTTCAAAAAGTCGTAAATCACACAATTCAGTCATAAATCCTTCGATTTGTGCCAATTTAATCCTAAACCTTTTAAGGTCTTGCCAAGTAAGTTCTAAACCTTCTAACAAATTACGTGGCATACCTCCACATCAGCAATTTCCGCCAAAAATTGACCGGAATGACTATTTTGGAATTTCTTGCAAAGTTTAAGTACTAAATTTGCATAATTGGAAAGTTGAGGACTGAATTGGTTTCGGTACAATAAATTTACGAATTGCTGGGTAATTTTTCCTGATCCAAATATGTATTAAGTAACAAGAACATCTTGGACAAAACAAAACGAAATAACTTAGACAAATCTTTTTTATCTATAACCTCAGACGAATCAATAGAATATTGATTAGAAATTAATCAATCGGCCTATATCATTTCATGGTGGATCAACGAATTCTTGGGCCGCATTATGATAGGAACTCTCAATCTACCTCATGTTCTTTTAAAGCAGCATTCATTTTGTAAAAAAAAATTTATTCGACTCATCGACCTTGAAGTAGTTCGATATTTAAAACATTGAAAACTCATATAATCAATCAATGGCTGCTACTAATTCAACAACATCAACTTGACAACAGTTGAAGAGAAGATTGAATAGATTAAGACCAAAATTTTCTTCCCTGGAATACTATTCCCGAAAATTAGGACTCTATGCAAAAAATTCATGCGTTGGCTAATTGTGGATGAAGGCATGTAATGTAACGGTATGACATCTCCTTGTTGGGAAAACGATAAGAACTAGACAAACCTTCTTCACATATGACTGTGCATCCCTCATTTCTGATAGACTTTCTATTTGTGATCAGTGTATCTAGCTGGAGTTCAATTGTTTCCTTTACAAGTCAAAGATTCATCTGTAAATGTCATGGCATGTCCATGACATTACTTTGTGGCTTATTAGGGTTCTTGGGATAGACATGACAGTGGAGTTTATTCTTTATTTATATTATTTTAAAAGAGACAAATTAAGTGATAGGTAACCCAAAATCAGAGAGAGTTCAAAATTTGGATTGGGGATTTCCTCCTCTGAAGGATAAGATGGTTATTGAATTATGGGCTATCCTGTTTAATGTTGGGCTAAGGATTAGTAACTCAATTTGGTGGACATCAAAAGTAGTTTCACTTACCTTTTCTTGCTTGATTCACTTTCGATGTCAAGGTCCGCTACTGGTGTAAAAAATAGATTACACATGCATCGGTAGATTAAAAGCATGTGCAAAAATGCATTTACGAAATTAACTTACAACACACGGATTACTCATCACAAGATGAATGTGTTAGAATACTCTTACACTAACGATGGATCTACCAATAATCCAAAGTAGTGATTTTATTTAGGAAACCACAAGCGAACTTCTTTGTTTGTTGTGTTGGCTAATATGTCAAATCGAGTATATGGTGAATCGAAATCTTGAATCTATGTACCGAGATATGGTTTTGTAGGATTGATAATAACAAGATTTTGCACGTGTTTTGGCTTCGAGGGTTTGGCACAAGATGAAGATGTGTGTTTTGCACTTCATTCTGGGTTCAAGTCTATTTTTGTCAAAGGGTTCCACTACCTCTTAAAATTCATTACCCTAAGCACTCAATAATCACGCGATTACGCCATTAAGAAAACCCTTGAGCCACATTCTTAAAATGAAGACAATAAAAAAATTTCTGCTGTTTGACAGAACAAAAAAAAGAACAATTCTAGAGATAGATTGATTTCCAAAATAGATTTTTATAACTGGTAAGAGGAGTAAAGTCATGCTGTGTAAATACAGCCCACTTTCTGACTAACCGGTTATAATTTCCACATCACTCATTAGTGAACTGTTTTTCTTTACAAAAGCTAATTCAGTGCGATTCAAGGGTGAGAAATCTAATTAAGATGCCAATTAACGCTAATTGGAGATTATTCCATTGCTTGGATTCTAAAGTTGGAATAGTACTTTCTTACACGTGAAACAAAAAAGGCACAATGCCCTGAGAGTTATTATTGATCCATCAAAGTCGACACACCGAAGTCATAAGCACTTCATACGATTACAACATGGGTTTTCTTGTCACGGATCCTTTCAGAGAATTCCAATTATCGCAAAAGTCATACTCCTTGGTTTCGTTGTTGAACAAACATGGACCACTGGGTACTATGTTCCACAAACAGTAGTGACAATTGGGGCGTTCCGGATCATCTTCTTTGTATATATCGTAGTGGTGAAAATTAAACGGCCATTCAAAGCTACAGAAGTACAATGTTGTTCCCCAAATGTTGGGTCGAATTTGAAATCCCCAGTAATCTCCTGGAACAAGCAACTGATAGCCGCGATCTTCATCACTTGATTGGCAATGAACTGTGAGGTTCACTTGTCCCGATACATAGTTGGCGATCTGAACATACACTAGCTTTCTCTTGTTTATCGCTTCACTGCCACATCGGAGCGGAACGAGAATAATAGTCAAAATCAGAAACAATCTAGTTGAAGAACAAGTCATCTTGATCTGCTTTTGCTTTGAAAATGAGTCAATTACTTTGATATATAAAGCAAACGGAAGCGTGGCTTATTTGGTAGAAAATGGGACATTAAGAACTTGAATCCGTCTTTGACAAACAGGATTGAATGTTTTGCCATAATATTAGATAACAATCGTTTTTGAAAGGGAAAAGCATATGTCTATAGTTGTCGTTAATTGAATTCTTAAAGAGTATTTATTCTCTTTTTGGCGCATCTCTATTTGGTGAACTTATAAATAAGATGATATAAAAATTGGATGGATGGACAGTTGGTAGGGGGATGATTGCTATCATTTACCTAAGTGAAGAATAAGGCAAAGGCAAATTACTTACTTGAGTCAAATCCGAAACAATCGATAACTTAGTAGGGAAAATTGTCAAAAAAAATTCTCAACCTATTGCAATTGTGACAACTCAATCTTTTTTTTTTTTGCCAATTAAGTTCTAAAACGTTTGCATTTATGTTAATTTAGTTCATTCGGCCAATTTTGCCCTACCGATGCTGACGTGGACGTCAGCCGTTCTTCGTGGTGCAACTAACGTTGACATGGATAATTTTTATATTAATATTTTAATATCTTTTCGAATTATTTATTTATTTATTTTCTTTTTTTCTCTTTCTGTTTCTTTCTTTCCTTCTTCCTTCGACGACCGGCCAAAGGCATAGGCCAACAAGCTCGCAAGCCCCTAGTGAGGGCGAGGTCCAACTCACCCAGCCATGGTGAGGCTCAACCTCGTCGTCGCCCAGCCTGCGAGGCTAGCCCTTGCCGTCGTTGGGCAAGGTCGAGCTCGCCCTCGCTGTCGTGAGCGAGGCTCGCCCTCTTTAGTGGCCAGTGAGGTCGACCTCATCGGCCAGGGGAAGAAGGAAAGAAAAAAAGGAAATAATAAAAATCAAATAAAGATTGAAAATATTTTAAATTGTTCATGTTAGCGCCCGCGCCATGTAGGACGGATGACATCCATGTTAGCGCTAGTAGGCCAAAATTGGCCAGATGTATTGAATTGGCACAAATGCAAAAGATTTAAGACTTAATTAGCAAAAAAAAGTTTCGAATATATGGTGAATGTTTAAAATATATATTAACTAAAGAGTATTAAATAGACAATCCACATTTTATGCAACAAAAAAGTTATATCATAACTCATGATATATCTAATCCATATTATTTTCGAAATATGAGTTTACGATCTCGAATAAGAGACAAGCACAACTCACCTGGGAAAGCCTAAAACCAAACAACAAAAATTAATTGAACTAACGAGCTTGCAATCACGTCAAATAACCAAGAAACAAAGTCGAAAACAAGTAAAATGCTGCCTCAACTATGAATCGACTAAACTAAACTTAATGGCTAACAAAATAACTCTTACATGCCAACAAAATGCTCGCCCAAAGCAATTATCCAAAGTTGTCCGCTACGCTGAGCTCTTTAAAACTCAACGGCTTTACAACGTTCTAACTTATTATTTTCATATAATTCCACGGCTTAACAACTCTTAAATCGAATCCCGTAATTGGAAATTCACATAACTTCGAATTTATGGTTTAACTCCAAATAGATGAGCAAATGATTCTAATCCTTACCTGGCGCTACGAAACGGAGTTAATCTGGCTTAGGGAGATCTCGAGGCGCGCACTCCTTTTCCTTTTGTTTCCCCTTTCTTTCTTTCCTTTTCCTTCTTTTCCCTCTTTGTACGTGCCCTTTATCTTTTTTTTCCCTTTATATCGCTGTTGCTTCCTTTTTGACCAAGTGAATTTTTATTTATTTATAAATATGTCTTTATTTGACCAAGTCAAATATGACAAGTGACGACTTGAACAAGGAGTATGACCTACGGAGTGAAGTGGCCGGCAGCATATGCTGGTACTTTTTCTTCAAGCTAGTCCCAGCAGTTTTACTTGTCAATTGCTCTCATGGATCTTTGTGACTTCATATATTAGCAGGTTTAGTGGTATTATCTGCACCAATGGATGCATAAATTGCGATCCCAATAGTTATACCTTCCTCTTCGTTCCATACTTATTGATTTCCTCAGGAATCAATGCATGGTTTGTCGCTAAATTAGATGACCGCAGGGCGCATATGCTGGTTACGCTAATAAAGAAGCTTGATTCGCTCGTCGATCCTGACTGCCTCAAGCTCATAAAACCAAGTTACACATGTAATTCCCCCAAGCGATTGCTATTTTCCGTTGTGTCCCTCGCAGAATCGCCTTCTCTCCGCCATTCATTCAAAAGTGTTGCCATCGTCTTTCCTGTGCTCGCGGTCCTCTTAACTCCGAATTCCAGCACAGGGCATTGTGAGATCGGGAAAGAGCTGACTAAGGTGCTGCATGAAAACCATTCTGGTTCTGTCCAAAATTGATTTTTTGTTCCCAGAATCAGTTTTGGACCAGAAACCCGTTTGGTAACGCAATTTCATTTTTCTATTTCCGGGACAAGTTTGCTTCCAAAACTGATTCTGAAACCAGAAATGAGAACAAAAAAAAAGTTGGTTTTTCATTTCTGGAACAAAAGTGAGAACCATTTATGAGGAATTCATTTTCTTCAACACACATATTCATATGGAAGTCACGATCTTTGAGATGAGAAAAAAAAGCAAAAAATCAAAAAATTCAAAACTTAACATAATGGTTTAGAATCTGTGGCTACCCACTTTCAGTGAAATTTAAATTTTTTTAGGTACCGAAAAAAATAAAAAAAATAAATAAAAATAAAAAATTTCAAAATTTCACAAAATGGCTTAGAAAACCTATGGCCACCCACTTTGAGCAAAATTTAATTTTTTTAGTTGCCAAAAAAAAATAAAAAATTCTAAAATTTAAAAACTTCACAAAATATCTTAGAATACCTGTGACTACCCAATTTGAGCGAAATTTTATTTTTTTAGGTGCCGAAAAAAATAAAAAAAAGCAAAAAATCAAAAATTTCAAAACTTCACAGAATGGCTTAGAATACTTGTGGCCATCCACTTTGAGTGAAATTTAAATTTTTTTAGGTGCCGAAAAAAATTAAAAAAATAAAAAAATTCAAAACTTCACAGAATAGCTTAAAATACCTATGGTCACCCACTTTGAGTGAAATTTAAATTTTTTTATATGCCAAAAAAAAATAAAAATAAGCAAAAAAGTAAAAATTTCAAAACTTTACAGAATGGCTTAAAATACCTGTGGCCACCCACTTTGAGCGAAATTTTATTTTTTTAGGTGCCGAAAAAAAAAAAAAAATAAAAAATTTCAAAACTTCACAAAATGGCTTAGAATACCTGTGGCCATCCACTTTAAGCGAAATTTAAATTTTTTTAGGTGCCGAAAAAAATAAAAAAATAAAAAATAAAAAACTTCACATAATTGCTTAGAATACCTGTGGCCACCCACTTTGAGTGAAATTTAATTTTTTTTAGGTGTCGAAAAAAAATAAAAATAAGCAAAAAAGAAAAATTTTCCAAACTTCACAGAGTGGCTTAGAATACATGTGGCCATCCACTTTGAGTGAAATTTAATTTTCTTTAGGAACCAAAAAAAATAAAAAAAAATAAAAAATACCATTTGGGCATCTAAAAAAAATTAAATTTTACTCAAAGTGGGTGGCTAGAGGTATTGTAAGTCATTCTGTGAAGTTTTGAAATTTTTGATTTTTTATGTTTTTTTTCACCTAAAAAAATTTAAATTTCACTCAAAGTGGATGGCCACATGTATTCTAAGTCATTCTGTGAAGTTTTGAAATTTTTGATTTTTTGCTTTTTTTCACCTCCAAAAATTAAAATTTCACTCAAAGTGGGTGGCCACAGGTATTCTAAGCCATTCTGTAAAGTTTTGAAACTTTTGAGTTTTTGAATTTTTTTTGGGCACCTTAAAAAATTTAAATTTCACTCAAAGTGGGTGGCCACATGTATTCTAAACTATTATGTGAAGTTTGAAATTTTTGATTTTTTGATTTTTTTTTTGCACCTAAAAAAATTTAAATTTCACTAAAAGTGGGTGGCCACAGGTATTCTAAGCAATTCTGTGAAGTTTTGAAATTTTTAATTTCTTGATTTTTTTTGAAAAAATTCAACAAATTTCCTATTTTCCCGAAATCTAAATTTTTTTTATTTTCTCGACATTTTGATGATTTTTTCTGGAATTTTTCAATTTTTTGGGATTTTCTGAATTTTTTTAAAGATTTTTATGAATTTTTCGGATTTTTTATTATTTTTATTCCATTTCTAAAAAAATGGATTTTTGTTCCTGGAAATAAAATTTTCTGTTGTTTATCAAACGGGTTTTTATTTCAGGAAATAGAAATTTTGTGCTGTTATCAAACGGGTTTCTGTTCTAGAAATAGAAATTTTTTGTCATTATCAAACGGGTTTTTTTTCTCAGAAACTCATCCAGGAACCAGAAATAGAAAAATCTATTTCTGGTTCAGGAACTCATTCCGGAACAGAATGGTTATTATTCGCTACCTAAGTCACTCAGTCCCACTCTCTGAATCCTGGCTTTGCACACCCAACCCCCCCTCCTATCGACGATAGCACGCCTCATGGCCTGTGGTCTCTCTCGTCTAAGTTGTGAGCAAAATAGAGTTTGATCCATATTTGCCAAACGAGAAAGAGAGTAGTCGGTCCAAGATGAAGCCAAAGCGTTTTGAACTATTGGATTCAATGGGTGCCACTTGGGATTTATTCATACGCGACAATTCAAATCGTTCGGTTCGTTCTCGATGTTGAGGCAAGAACTTGGCTTGAGCTATAGTAGTTGGCCATTCTTTGGTGGAACTTGGTCCTGGCAGCTCGAGTATATTAGCAGCTTGACTTTGATTCGTTCGCTACAAGGGAAATAACACAAATAAATGTCGGGCTTCTAATGGACAGCCAAGGGAAATCCCTTCTAGCCGCTGATCAAGGATCGCAAGCACATGTGCCAAAGCAGCTAAATTTATCCAACTTGACAGCACGATATTAATAGATTAATTGTGTTTACATTAAAAAAAAAGTATACTCCACGAAGATTTTGAAGGATGTAAAGTATCTAGAACAACATTTTATTAGACGGCATGGCACGGAATATATGGATGTATAAGAAATGACAAAATGGAGAGACGTATGAATGGATAAGAATTGACAAGACGGTCCATGTTATCAATTTTTATTACATCCATGCGTACGTCCCATGCCATCTAATAAATTAAAGGTTGGATAGAACTAGTTAATCACATTAATTCAACGAATGAGGTGGCTTCACAAATAATTAAAAATGACAGAAAAGAAAGAAAGCATTTCTTCCTCTTCTATATCCAATATCTATATCATTTTTTGCGTCCAAGGATCGAATTCCTCTCTTTCCGTATCTTTTACTCATCTACCAGTATTATTATTCACAATATATCAAATAACAACTCGTATTTGATTTCAAAAGTCAAAATTTTCATTGATATATAGATTCGTCATTCCTAATTTTGTAGCGGCCAACTCGATCCTCTTTCCCTCGAGATTCTTGCGGGATAAGGATAGAGAGAAACCCAGCAAAAGCTACTTTTTTTGGTCATTAAGCTCGTTGACTCAATCGACATCTACTTTGTTAGCCCGGTCGTGATTGCAGATAGAAAATGAATAGATAATCCAATCCCCCTCCTAAAAAAATAGAAGGAGCGAACCCACATTTTAGCCAAGGAAAAATAGCATCACCCACTGCCTCACCTTCTCTTCTTGTTCGTCAAATGGCACCAATCTCAGCTCCTAAAATTCTCACCACCTCAACATTCTCACGTCTCTCTCTCTTATTCACTCTATCCATTCTCATGCATTACTATTCATCAGAGGCAACCCTACCTCCACAAACCACCGAGATGGTGTTGTACTTCCAGGACTTCGCTTCCGGGGCCAACTTCACTCTCATCCCGGTCGCAGGCATCGCCGGGAAGCTCTGGACGTTCAGCCAGTTCGGGACGGTGTTCGTCACCGATGACTTCATAACCGAGACGCCCGACCAGGACTCGCCCATGGTCGGGCGGGGACAGGGCATGTACGTGACATCGGCGCTGGACGGGTCAAGCACTCACGCCATGTTCTCGATCGTGTTCGTCAACCAAGCCTACAACGGGAGCACCCTGTCGATCCAGGGCACGGGCAAGCAGTTCGAGGCGGTCAGGGAGTATGCGGTAGTTGGGGGCACCGGGAAGTTCCGGTTCGCACGAGGCTACACGACGTTCGAGACTATCTCCGTGGACCCGCCGAGGGGTCACTCGGTTATCCGGTGCAATGTCACCATCCGTCATGATTAGAGGAGTTTCCAACGCGTTTGACAAATTGCGTGTGGATTTAGAGTATTGGGACCTACTAGTAAATAAAGTGTTTCCACTGTAAGGCTCTGTCTTCTCGCAAATGTCATTTATAAGATCAGAAATTTGATAGCTCCATTGCCCGAAATCTTACCTATCCTTGGTAATTTGAAAGCAAAAAATGAAAGACACGGTGGAGAATGCCATGTGATCCGACAGTCAGAAATAAGTTGTCTAAACATTCTTGTTTTATGGCAAAGAAGTCCTCCTAATCAGTAAATAAGTCTCGGTATGGGAAATTTTTTGAACAACACTATTCATATTAAAGAGGTTCCGTTCAAGTATGAGGCTCTAGCTCTTGGTATAAGGAAAATGCCGAGTCCCAGTCTAGAGCGAAAATGGGGATGTCAACCACAAGTAGTACTCTTATTGAGAGAGCTAGATTCAGGTTTGATAAAGGATCATCTTTCTCTATATTTATGAAGAGAAAAGTAGTAGAAATAAGCAAACTTATAAACTCGTTTAGCAAATCCAATGTCCACCGTAATGTACATGCCTTCTGAGAAGAATAACCAGATGGCCCATCTTCTGAAAAATTACAAAAAAAGTCTTAAACCTATTACAATCGTGCCAATTCAGCCTTAAACAACTTCTTTTTTTGCCAATTCAGTCCTAAATATTTTGTAATTGTGCTAATTCAATCAATCCAGCCAATTTTGGCCAATTTAGCCTCTGCAAAAAAGTTTCTGGTTGGGTGGCAAAAAGATAAGCTTCTGGTTGGATGACTGGCTGGGATTTGGTCCTTCAGGGAAATGTTAATAAAGTGAAGAGGAAATGATGGTCAACAACTTTTTGCTTAGAGCAGGTTTTTGGACCTTTTAAATCTTCATGTATTTGATGATGATCTTAACCAATGCATCCGTGCCATTCCTATTGCTCACGGTTCTAGCTCGGAGGACCTCATTGCTTGGAAATTCTCGCGAAATGGTGAGTTTAGAACTACTGATGCCTATGATCTTGTGATCAACAATGAGCCTGATAAAGGTTGTTCCGGATGATTGGTCTTGGATTTGGAAGTCAAAAAACTATCCCTCAAATCCAAACCTTTATTTGGCTTGTGATCCATAAGAGAATTGCCACCAAAGTTTTCCTCCACCAGAAGGGTCTTGTTCCTCACGACTGCTGTAATATTTGTTTGAGTAGCAGAGAGGTCATTCTCCATCTTCTGGCTTACTAAGATATATGTGCATCTACAGGGGACGTAAGTCTGGGAAATTAGCACTTTACAGGTTGAAAGTGCTATTGTCTGCTGCAATCTCGCAATTAAAATGCTAAACCCCGTGCATTACTATTCATCAGAGGCAACCCTACCTCCACAAACCACCGAGATGGTGTTGTACTTCCAGGACTTCGCTTCCGGGGCCAACTTCACTCTCATCCCGGTCGAAGGCATCGCCGGGAAGCTCTGGACGTTCAGCCAGTTCGGGATGGTGTTCGTCACCGATGACTTCATAACCAAGACGCCCAACCAGGACTCGCCCATGGTCGGGCGGGGACAGGGCATGTACGTGACATCGGCGCTGGACGGGTCAAGCACTCACGCCATGTTCTCGATCGTGTTCGTCAACCAAGCCTACAACGGGAGCACCCTGTCGATCCAGGGCACGGGCAAGCAGTTCGAGGCGGTCAGGGAGTATGCGGTAGTTGGGGGCACCGGGAAGTTCCGGTTCGCACGAGGCTACACGACGTTCGAGACTATCTCCGTGGACCCGCCGAGGGGTCACTCGGTTATCCGGTGCAATGTCACCATCCGTCATGATTAGAGGAGTTTCCAACGCGTTTGACAAATTGCGTGTGGATTTAGAGTATTGGGACCTACTAGTAAATGAAGTGTTTCCACTGTAAGGCTCTGTCTTCTCGCAAATGTCATTTATAAGATCAGAAATTTGATAGCTCCGTTGCCCGAAATCTTACCTATCCTTGGTAATTTGAAAGCAAAAAATGAAAGACACAGTGGAGAATGCCATTTGATCCGACGGTCAGAAATAAGTTGTCTAAACATTCTTGTTTTATGGCAAAGAGGTCCTCCTAATCAGTAAATAAGTCTCGGTATCGGAAGTTTTTTGAACAACACTACTCATATTAAAGAGGTTCCGTTCAAGTATGAGGCTCTAGCTCTTGGTATAAGGAAAATGCCGAGTCCCAGTCTGGAGCGAAAATGGGGGTGTCAACCACAAGTAGTACTCTTATTGAGAGAGCCAGATTCAGGTTTGATAAAGGATCATCTTTCTCTCTATTTATGAAGAGAAAAGTTGTAGAAATAAGGAAACTTATATACTCGTTTAGCAAATCCAATGTCCACCGTAATGTACATGCCTTCTGAGAAGAATAACCAGATGACCCATCTTCCGGAAAATTACTACAAAATTCTTAAACCTATTACAATCGTGCTAATTCAGCCTTAAACTTCTTCTTTTTTTGCCAATTCAGTCCTAAACATTTTATAATTGTGCTAATTTAGTCAATCCAGCCAATTTTGGCCAATTCAGCCTCTGCAAAAAAGTTTCTGGTTGGGTGGCAAAAAGATAAGCTTCTGGTTGGATGACCAGCTGGGATTTGGTCCTTCAGGGAAATGTTATATCGGGCCTCTTAATAAAGTGAAGAGGAAATGATGGTCAACAACTTTTGGCTTAGAGCGGGTTTTTGGACCTTTTAAATCTTCATGTATTTGATGATGATCTTATCCAATGCATCCGTGCCATTCCTATTACTCACGGTTCTAGCTCGGAGGACCTCATTGCTTGGAAATTCTCGCAAAATGGTGAGTTTAGAACTACTGATGCCTATGATCTTGTGATCAACAATGAGCCCGACAAAGGTTGTTCCGGATGATTGGTCTTGGATTTGGAAGTCAAAAAACTATCCCGCAAATCCAAACCTTTGTTTGGCTTGTGATCCATAAGAGAATTGCCACCAAAGTTTTCCTCCACCAGAAGGGTCTCGTTCCTCACGACTGGTGTAATATTTGTTTGAGTAGCAGAGAGGTCATTCTCCCTCTTCTGGCTTACTAAGATAAATGTGCATCTGCAGGGGGACGTAAGTCTGGCAAATTAGCAGTTTACAGGTTGAATTGTCCGCTGCAATCTCGCAATTAAAATGCTAAACTCCATGCTTTTGGTTCATTCGCTCTATACTATAACTCTGGTCCGTTTTGTTGAGGAAACTCCTATTGATTTTGAAGTTGACAAAACTTTCCATGTTATTGTAAATCTGATACTTATTCTGAACTAACTTATTCCAGGTATGTATACTCTGAAAGTTCAGAAGGAAGTTATTCAGACTTTACAAGCTGGCAAATACCTTATTGAAGACCTACATAATCTTAGTTCTGAAGATTCAGACGAAGAAATTATTCAGAAGCAGACGCAGAAGTTCTTGCGACACAGACGCAGAAGTTCTTCAGATGCAGACGCAGAATTTCTTCAGACGCAGAATTCAGAACAAAACAAAATAGCTAGTAATCTGGTATGGATTTCATAGAACGAAAGTTTTGATTATTTCAATCTAAGGCTATAATTGATTGACAATCAAACACTGCGACAAGTATGCATTACAACGGATAAAGCTTTACTTATGGAAACCAAGATTCTGATTGTATGGGCGACCAGAATCAGCGGGATTCAGAATCTGTCATCCAACGGCTACTCAATCCTTTTTATACAAATCTGTCCAAGGTGAAGATTGGAAGATGATCATCTGAATGTTGTCCAACGGCTAGTTTGGAAGTAGATGAGTATTTAAGGAGATCAACGAGCAGCAGAAGGAAGTACAGAATCAAGAATCATCAAGTCCAAAGTCTGAGCATATTCCGATCATTTATCTTGTCTTTCTGAGCCAAACATTAAGATCTTGAGGGATACTTTGTAAAAGTGATTGTGTGAGATAGAGAGTCCTATCATACACAAGAGTGCTAACACTCAGAAGTTATAATTTCTCTTGATTACATAGTGAAATCCAGCCGGTAGGCTGTAAGCGTGAGAGAGTGGACGTAGGCTTGCTATAAGCCGAACCACTATAAACTTGTGTGCAGTTTTTCTTTCCCTCATCTCTTACTTTACATTCTGCACATCAAGAGCACCGTCTATACAATCTGTCTTGAATCTGAATTTTATTCAGACTCTTCTGTGATTTGTTTTGTTTCCGCATAAATTATCAAAAGTTGTCTAAGATCACCTATTCACCCCCCTCTAGGTGATCCTTGCTAGCTACATCAATTGGTATCAGAGCAGGTTGCTCATTTATTGAAGTGTTTTACTTCTGAGCTAACGATCTACATGGCTAGCTTTGGTGCTCCAGGGCTCATTGAAGGACAGAGCAACAACAGACCACCATATTTCGATGGCAAGGAATATAGTGTCTGGAAGAATAAAATGAAGGTATTCATAAAGTCAATTGATCACATGCAATGGGATGTCATCATCAGAGGAGTCAATCTAAAATCTTCTGATTTAAAAGAAAAGGCAAATGCAAGCAAAGCAGCAGATCCTCCATTATCTCAAACTGAGATATCCAAAAGAGAAACCTTAGATTCCAAAGCAATTTATTCTTTATATTGTGTTTTATCTCCTGTTGAATATAAAAAAATTGCTGCTTGTGAATCAGCTAAGGAAATCTGGGATACTTTCCACACTACTTATGAAGGAACAGATCGAGCCAAGGAAACTCAAATCAATCTTTTGCTTGGTCAATATGAATCTTTCAAAATGACGCCTGAAGAATCAATTGCTGATATGTATGACAGGTTTACTGACATAGTAAACGGTCTTGCATATCAAGGACAACCAGTACCAGATGCAATGAAAGTCAGCAAACTACTGAGAGGACTGACAAAAAAGTGGGATAATATCAAAACATCTCTTCGAGAGACACAAAGGATCAAGCCTTTATCAGTAAATGAGTTGATTGGAACTCTTCAATCATATGAGATTGAGCATCGGAATGAGGAGAATGAATCCAGAGGTAATAAGTCAATTGCATCAAAAACTAACATTGATTCTGATGCAGATTCTGAAGATGAAGATGTTGACGATGAAGAACTAGCTCTCTTCATAAAGAAGTATAAGAAAATGAAAATCAAAGGAAGAAACCTCAAAGGTAAGAAGCCTTTTGAAAAGAAGAAGTCTTTCGATGAAACAGAGAGATCAAAGGATGTTATATGCTTTCACTGTAACAAACGTGGACATATCAAGCCAAATTGTCCACTTCTGAAAAAGAAGATCAAATTTGAGAAAGCAAAGAAGGCCTTAAAAGCATAAACCTAGAGTGACACAGAATGCGAAGACAGTGATGAAGATATCTCTAATTTCTGTCTAATGGCTAAGTCAGATTCAGACTCAGATTCAGATTCAGATTCTGATCCTAAAGTGAAAATTGAGGTAAAGCATTCTGATATACCTATTGAAGTATCAAATTATATTGATGAATTATGCTTTGAATTTAAGACTGCTCTTAAAAGAATCTCTTCTTTGAAAAAGGAAAATTCATCACTGAGGCAACAGGATGTTTCTCAAAAAGAAAAAATCGATTTCCTTCAAAAAGAATTTCATCAAATCAAGGAAAGTCGAGATTTTCTTTCCAAAGAAAATGCTGTTTTGAAAAAGGAAGTTTCAGAAATTACTTCCAAGTTTTCAAAAGATTCAGAAACCTTGAAGCATATCCTTTCTATCCAAATTCGTTACTATAACAAATCTGGTCTCGGATTTGTGAAGGAAAGTGATAGTTTGATTGATTTTCCAAAGGTTAAGGAGAGATTAAGACAAAGACCTCCTCGACAAGCTTATAAAAATCATTTCAAAAGAAATTTTGTTAAACCTGTTGGCCGAAGTGCTCTTAAGTGCTCAAAATGTGGAGATCCACAACATTTTGAGAATGAATGTCCTAAGGTCTGGAGACCTGTTCGAAGAGACTTTGTTAAGACAGCCTATACTAATCCTCAAGGACCCAAACAAATTTGGGTACCAAAGAAAACTTGAGATGTTGTAATTTTTGCAGGTTACCACGAAGAGAAAAAGAAAGTGGTACCTAGACAGTGGATGTTCTAGACATATGACAGGAGATCCAAGCATATTTGTTGAACTACAAAACCTGAATGGTGGAAAAGTTTCCTTTGGTGAAAATAACAAAGGAAAAATAGTTGGCAAAGGAACGGTTGAAATTGGAGGACTCACAATCAATGATGTTTCATTGGTAAAAGGACTCAACTACAACCTGTCAGCATAAGCCAACTATGTGATACAGGTTTCAGAATCAACTTTCAAGAAGATACATGCTCAGGAACAAGCAAAGACTCTTCTCAAACATTCACATGAAGAAGACATGGCAATATTTATCTTCTAGATGTCAATCCAAACTCCACTCATTGTTTGATCTCAATCAAAGAGGGTGAAGATCTATGGCACAGAAGATTGGGGCATATCAGTATGAAACAAATTTCAAAGATCTCAAGCAAGAAACTGGTTCGAGGTCTGCCAGATTTGAAATACAAGAAAATAGAGTTATGCAATGCCTGCACTCTAGGAAAACAAGTAAGAAGCTCTTTTAAATCTATACATCATGTTTCCACTAATCGTGCTTTGCAGCTTCTTCATATGGATCTATTCGGTCCAACCAGAACTCAAAGTATTGGTGGTAAGAAATATTGTTTAGTTATTATTGATGACTTCACAAGATTTACTTGGGTGCTCTTCCTTGCTCATAAAAATGAAGCATTTTCATATTTTTCAAAATTTGCAAAAAGAGTTCAGAATGAAAAGGACTATTCCATTTCCTGCATTAAAACTGATCATGGGGGAGAATTTGAAAATCAAAGTTTTTCAGAATTCTGTGAGGAAAATGGTTTTCAACACAATTTTTCTACTCCTTATACACCAGAACAAAATGGTGTTGTAGAAAGGAAAAATCGTTCTTTGCAAGAAATAGCAAGAACTTTGTTGATTGAAAGCAAGATTCCTTTTCATTTCTGGGCAGATGCAGTTTTTACAGCATGTTATATCATTAACAGAGCTTTTCTCAGACCCATTCTTGAGAAAACCCCCTATGAGCTTTACAAAGGTAGAAAGCCCAATATTTTATATTTTCGTGTGTTTGGTTGTAAATGCTTTATTCTCAAAAATCCAAATGATCGTCCTGGTAAGTTTGATGAGAAAGCAGATGAAGGATTTTTCCTTGGATATTCTACTACAAGTAAAGCATACAGAGTCTTCAACAAGAACTCTCAGACTGTGGAAGAAACAATGAATGTAAGGTTTGAAGAAAATATTCAGACTCACAAAGATGAATCTGAACCATCTCTCAACATTCAAGAGTTATCAGAAGATCAACAAGAATCTCCAAAGATCGTAGAATCTGTAGAAGAAGGAAAAGAATATACAATACAGACTCAACTAGAACCTTCAGAGTCTGAAGTTATTCAGAAGGAAAGATTTGACAAAAACTGGAAACATAAATCCAGTCATCCGAAGAACCTAATCATTGGAGAAATAGAAGATGGCATCAAGACAAGATCTAAACACAAAGAGAATATCAGCAACTTGGCGTTGATATCAGAAATAGAACCAAAAGAAGTTGGTGAAGCATTATCAGATGAAAGCTGGATCGAAGCTATGCAGGAGAAACTTCAGCAGTTCAGAATCAATAAAGTATGGGAGCTTGTGCCAAGACCCAAAAACCATCCAGTAATTGGAACAAAATGGGTATTCAGAAACAAACTGGATGACAAAGGGAAAGTAACAAGAAACAAAGCAAGACTGGTAGCAAAAGGCT